ACACACACACTACCGTTCAAAAGTTTGGGATCAGAACGATTTTTAATGTTTTTAAAGGAGTTTCTTATGCTCATCAAGGCTGCATTTAATGTAATATTGTGAAAAATTATTACGATGTAAAATAATAGCATTTTTCTATTTTAATATACATTAAAATCTAATTTATTCCTGTGATGCAAAGCTGTATTTTCAGAATCATTACTCCAGTCTTCAGTGTCACATGATCCTTCAGAAATCATTCTAATATGCTGATTTATTATCTGAGGGCCTCCAGGCTCTGCGCGGCGATGACCGTGTGCCGGTGTTCAGAGGTGTGGACCAGCCCCACGTTGGAGAAGCGTCGCGTGCTGTTTCCCAGCGTGCGATATTCACGCGGGTACTCCAGGTCATCGGTGGAGATCATGTGACCTCCGCCACGCTCCAGGTCTGGTTTGAGAGAGAGAAATGAAAGGGGGCCAGGAGGAGTTGAGGAATGTGAAGAGTGTGGCACCAGCACGCACCCATCCATTCGGTCATGCATGACCACACGCACGCATGCAACAGCGCAAATGCATTCACAGACAGACAGACGGTGGAGGAGAATGGGGTGAAGAGGAGGAAGAGAGAAAAATGGCATGAGATGTTAGACTTATTACAACAGAAAGGAGCACAAGAGCGAGTGGCTGCTCCCTGCAGAGTTATTGATCTCAGGTTTAGTCGAAAAGAGGGAACTAAGAAAAAGTAAAAGCACTGATCTATAGATCAGAAAAAAAAAGAATGAAGCCAAAATTTCTCTGTAGGAGATTAGCTACATTTTGCTTTGCCTGTCCATTCGCCTTTGTCATCTGATGTGGCATTTCTTACTTTCCGAGCACACATGCTGGCACACATCCTGAATGAGCATGTACCTCAGCATGCAAATTCACATACAGGTGCATCTCAATAAATTAGAATGTCGTGGGAAAGTTCATTTATTTCAGTAATTCAACTCAAATTGTGAAACTCGTGTATTAAATACAATGTTTTTTTTATTGGTTTTATTTTATTGGTTTTTGTTAAATGTGAGCCAAAATCATCACAATTAAAAGAACCAAAGACTTAAACTACTTCAGTCTGTGTGCACTGAATTTATTTAATACACGAGTTTCACAATTTGAGTTGAATTACTGAAATAAATGAACTTTTCCACGACATTCTAATTTATTGAGATGCACCTGTATATACACGTGAAAATATGTTTATACAAGCTAGAAGAGAAAAGCAATTAAAAAGTTGGCTACAGAAGTCAGGGGCGTCATGTACAATGTTTTTTGAGGGGGGCACCAGTGGTAGTTCAGGCTGATTTTATGCCCTATGAGATAAGCACTTTTTAACAACTTAAAAAAAGTTCACCCAAAAATGAAAATTCTGTCATCATTAACCCTCATATCATTTTTAAGGCTGCACCTGAAATAACATCCTTCCCTACAATATACAGTAGCAGGCGAAAAACAGTATGATAAAAGCAGTATGATGGAATTCACAGTACTCATAAAAGAGTAGGCAAAAAGTACCCAGATGACCTACTACTTCAGGCAAGATTCTGAAGTGCACATCCAATTATTATCCCATGAGGCCGCAGGAGAGGATTTCTGAATGCCAGTGAAGTGAACTGATGCTGGTAGGTCATGTGAAAATGACAACATGTCGAATATAGCATTCCCAGATTACATTCATACTACACGCATATATACTATATAAAACAGTTTTTTAGCAGTCCCGAAGTAATTTCTTTATTCAAAATAAGTAACTACTCAAGAGATTATGCAATTTCAGATGCAGCGTAAGACACTGCAAAAGTAATCACACAAAACTCACTGGTTTCTCATGTGTCAAATAATCACATCTGAGCTACCGTCTATACCATATTTGATGTGCTCTATGTGCTGTGTTAATCAATGTTCATATGCGAAATTAAATCTTATAAAGCAATCATGTCTCTTCAGAAGACTTACTGTAGATTAAACATTCAAAATTGGATTAAATACTTGGTACATATGGATTAATTTTACTATGTTTTTTGTAATTCTTGATGTGTAAAAGTTTTGGTTGCATGGACTTTCAATGGATGAACAAAAAGGATGAGTGAATATTAAAAATATCTTAATTTGTGTCAAAAAACAAACAATTAATGGGTTTGAATGACGTGAGGGTGAGTAAATGATGACAGACATTTCATTTAATCAGTTAGTTAAGAAGAGTTCAGAAGATGGGAAAAATGTATAGGTGAGGAAAGCTCTTAAAATCTGTTTTAAAAGGGTGATTCTATAATATAGTGAAACATTTGTGACTTATATGTTTGCCTACAATTTATTATCAGAATCCACAGATACTTGCAAATGACTGTCATTGAAGAAAGATTCAGATAGATGGTGTAGTTACAGCATCTACCAGAGGGGCAAACTGAATCATGCTAACCAGCCAAACCTTGACACCTTGGTTTACTGTACGGGCCCCCTCAGTTTAAAAGTGCATGATGCTTCTGACAGAGTGGCACAAATATGTTTACGCATTCCCAAACTGCCTCCAAGGACAAGAGGCGCAATCTAATGCACATGTAGCTTCACTACCCCCTCTCTCTCGCTCATAAAGACTGGCAGGAACAGCGGCTAACGCACATGGCACGCAGACAACACCCATCCATTGTGGTTGGGCAGTATGCAGAGACAAGACATTGACATACAATTGACAAAACCAGTGAAACAAAATGATAGGCCAGTCAGAGGCTCTGATTGGCCAGAGGCAGGCCAACATGAGGGGATATGGGAGTGGCTGGGTGTGGTTACCTTGCTTCGGAAAGCAGGCCCCAACACTGGCTGAAAAAAAAAAACATTAACCACAGTTAAGTTCCTCATTCTCTCTATCTTTCATTCTCTCTTTCATTCCCTTTATCTCTCTTTCATATACACACACGATAATTGCCTTTGGTGCTGTTGGCAAGAATTGATTCCCAAATCATCTCTCTCTTTTGTATTATGCAAAAGAAACAGGAACATTGTTCAGTCATAATACAAAAAATGAAATCCTACACTGAGGAGCAAATTCTCTGACTGCTCTTCACGAAAACTAGAAAGGCGCTTCTCACATTGCTGGTGTGGTTTTTTTGTGTAAACAGAAGCTTTCGGTAAGCATCCTCAATTCCAACCGAAAACCTCCCCGAGCACCTTCTGTCAAGAATTTATGAGTCTCACTGTCAGCTTCCTTGAAGCCCCTGAACAAACAAATACAAACACCCACACAATCACTGCATTAAACTTTAAATTTATCAACCATTCCTCCTTCTAGCTACTACTCTTCACTTATTCTCTCTTTCACATGTTAACAGATTCAAACCTCTTATGACTAACACATCAATACATTTTAAAAGAAATGAGAGTATATGTTTTTGATGTTGTGAGGTGTTTGTGTGTGTTGGAAGGTTTTCAGCAGGAGTGAGGTCAGAAAAGGCAAGTATTGGTCCTGATTGCTTGTGTGGAGTAATTTTGTTAATAAAATGTTAATGAAGTACCTGAATGTTTTAATGGGCTAAAATCTAGCATAAAATCGAGCATAACAAAACTGCTGAAAGCTGCAGGTGACATAGTGGTACACTATATCTGCACTGATTTGTCTGTTTGCATGTTCCTTCATTTATTCATCATGCATTATCCACCTTATTTTTCAATGCGGAAGTAAGGAAGTGTTTTCTGTGAATGTGCATTCATTAGCCGCTGTAGGGAAATAAAGAGAAGAAAAACAAAGTGCAGTAAATGGTAAAACTGTTTGCACTACAAACCAGTGTGTTCATAATTAAGATAATACATTAAAATAATATGTTAAGACATAACAGTTTGCAATATCAAGCAGCAAAAGGAGTTGTTTTGTACAGCTAAAAATAGCTTACAGGAAAAATAAGGTGGACAGATTTATTAATTCACTTATCAATCCATTCCACAGTTTTTTGTTAGAACAATTTATGTACAACAAAACCTGTAGTCAATTTATAGTATTATAACTGTTTCCTATTCTGATGTATTTTGAAATATAATTTATTTCTATAATTGCAGTGCTGAAGCTTTCAGCAGCAAGTTTTTAGTTTCACATTCCTGTTTAATTTTTGTCTATGTTGAAAATAGTTGGTGCTGCTTAATAGTTTTATGGAAATCATGATACTTTTTTTATGATTAACAGAAAGTTTAAAAGAACAGCATTTATTTGAAATATAAATCTTTTTTAACTTTCTAAATGTTTTGTCACTTTTGATCAATTTAATGCATCCTTATTGAATAAAAAGGTGACATTTCTTTAAAACATTTACTGACCAAACTTTTGAACTGTAGTGTAAATATCTGCCACTAGTAGCAAATAGTGCAGTGATGTGGCAACAACAAATTATTCACTAGTTTGCCAAATTAAAGTGTGATTATTCAAATTTTTTTAATTTTGTGAATGTAAATTAGGTCAAAGTGAGACATTTTTGACAGCCTGTCATAAGAAGTATGAACTGTTGTGATGAACTGGCACTTAATATATTTATATTATATTATATTAATTATATGAAATTATATTATAGTATAGTATAGTATAGTTAAATATATATCAGAATGAAGACCCAAAGTCATTCTCTCTGTGAAACTTCATATCATGTGCATGACCGTTTTACTGTGTGGAGACGTGCTGATATCACGTTTGGTCTCGTTCTGTATCGTGTATCTTGTCAGTGTCTGCGCTTGCTTGGCCATTTGTTGTGGAAAAAATAAGGAAAGTGTGTCCAGCTGAATTAATTTAGTATTTTGTTAGAGGGGTATAAAAAAGCTTAGTTTACCGCTGCAGCCGTCGCGTGATGGCCTCCTCGTGTGAAGACCGGAGAGTGTAAAGACCATCGACTCTACCGTGCGACTCCACCGGGTAGGGACACCGGCAAAGGATAAGTATCGCTTTTTATTTCTCCTCTTTCCTACTTGTTTCACTTCGGTTTCAGTTTTTATAACCATTTCTTACTATGTGTAAGTAAGTTGTTGTTTTTTAAGCATGTGTGTTTGACAGTGTTATTTTTTTAGGATTACTGATAAACTACTGTCATATGATTTGTATTATTTGTATTTGTTATTTATTTTAATTTTAGTTAAATTATGTCTAAATTTATTATGTCTGTATAGGTCTTTTATTAAGTTTTAGTTTTATTTAATTTGAGTTATTTTAATACTTCAACAAACTAAATGGAAATTAAATAATATTTTAAAATGTGTATAAGTAGTATTTATAAAGTTTTAGCTTTTAGTTTTGGATCTGTTTTTAGTTGGTTGTTTTAAACAATTGATTGCTTCTGTTGTCCTCATTTGTAAGTCGCTTTGGATAAAAGCGTCTGCTAAATGACAAAATAAATAAATAAATAAATAAATGTGCTTCCAGCTGAGTGGGATTTGAAT